AGTTTATCTAAGCCCCAAATTAGAGCCAAACACTCGACTTCTGTCGTCCCATAATTGGATTCAGCCTCGTTTTGTTGAATTCTCCTTTTGCTTGTAATGGTAAGAGTAGAGGTAAGGGCGAGTTGCTATTTTGCTAGCAATGCAGGAAAATCATACTTGCAATTCATGTACCGATGCAAGTTAAGCTTCTAAAACTCTGAAACGAAAATGACTATTTTTCAAATATTGCTAATCTGTCGATTTTTAAAATGTATTTTTACAATTAATTTTAAATTTAAAAAAAATATTTATGTTAAACGTTAACTCATCTTTCAACCATTTATAGTTAAAATGACGGGAACGGATTCTGGAACTCAAGAAAACGTGCGCAGATAATTTTCTCCCCCCTACGTCACATACAGTTTTTACTATTTTTTTTACTGAATAAATCTAAATCTAAATCTAATCTAAGTATGTTACTTTATCTTGTTTTCTTTGATGCATCGATTAACATGCATTTACGCATGGACATGACAGCAAAACTGAAACCCTATAAGCAGAATATAATAAGCACTAAAACAGGTTTTTTAATAGAAGATAACTCTTAGATACGACTCAAATGCGTTTGTGTACACTCAGGGCGCACACGGCGCGTGATGACACAGGATTTGCACCAACAGTGCGATAAGCTCGTATTTCTCTGTGTCCCTTTCTTCTCTACTACGAAGCTTCCCGTTAAAGGGCCCGGCAGTTGCTGCAGGCTTCTTGTGACCGCCGACCTGTTGCCAAATACCGCGCTACTGCCATACACCGAAACTCGGTCATTGCCTCTGAGCATGGATAATAATAGCGTACTCATACTAAAAATGTCTTCAACATTAATTATTTACATGGTACTGCCTTGTGAATAGTTTTATTTCGACCTTAAATGCACGATAAACATTAGTGTCATATGTTAGCATGCATAACTTTTATTTACAGTGTGCAATGTTGTTTTGCCATCAAGAAACCCATTTTCATTAACTAAATACTAAAAATCTTTGGGCTGCTCATTGGCAAAGTCTCAGGTTTGAATTTTGGCATAGAGCACACCCGTATGGACCATTCAGATTTAACATTTCGGCAGTATAATGTAAATTCTGAATAGCCATCGGTACCCCACTGGCTCCAGAGGGCCAATGAATTGCAAGATTGATCATAGATTATAATATTTCATCGGGATGGACTGGCCATCCAATGAATCTTCGTTGGATTCTGTACGATCACCATGAATCCGTCGGGTTGGGTGTCAGTCAGTTCTCCGGGGAAAAGCATGCCCTGGTGCTTGGTCACCACACAATCGTCCACTTTGAAAGCATCTATACACTCATCATTGGAATTGTTGCTGGTATGTGAAAACCTCAATGGGATGGAGCACCAAGTGTCTCTGTCCCGTTCGAATCCTCATCGAACGACATGTTACAGCTTCGAATATCCTTCGTGATCGAATTGCGAAGAGAAAATTCACCACTGCTGACTTCTGTCTCTTTGTCATCTCTGCACGGGAAGACTTCTTGCAGATGACGTAAGCCTTGCTGGCAGATTACGTCTTCTTTATCTTCTATGTTCACATACTTCACGTAAACGTTGCGCAAAGATCAAACTTTCATTAAAGCCAACAAGAATAATTACCAGCAATTGCTGGTCGTAGGAGTTTATTCGCTCTACCAGGCACAATTGTCGGAAAGCACGGATAGAGCGCAGGAAACCATAAAAAAATCGCCTCTGGCGAATACAGTGGCTGCACAACAGCCTCAGATGGCGGTCCCTTGGTGGCGGGGGATTTGAAAATGTTTAACGGTTAAATTTCTTTCCCGATTAAATTTCTTAGGGCTGTTAAATTGCTTTCCCGGTCTCATACACGCGACGCGAGACTCGAAATATGAAATATTCACCCAATATTCAAGTAAACCCACTTTACGGCAGTCTTGTAGTTTGCACAAGCCTTTTGCAACTCAATAACAAATAATTCTCACCCATAGTATTCTACAATGCGGTACTTACCGAATGATTGTCACCAGACAGCCCTGCTGTTATACCATGATTCTCTAGGAGAATACCGTGTTGGAGTTTCCTTTGGCGATGCGAATTTAAATCAGCAACGTCTGAAAAAAAAGAGATAAGAGTTTATTTTTGAGTGCTCCTTAATCACTAATACTTTCTCGTAAATAGAAATTATGGGAATGCTGCGACCGAAACCTGCGCTCTTTCGTCAGAAAAAACTAGTATTTAGGGTTCCTGGTTATGAAAGAGCAGATAAATCTTATTCCCACTTGAGATAAATTACTTCCTCTAAAATGTTATGCAGTCAGAATCCACTTTTTTGTAGGTGGTTGATACCGAAAAATGGATAGACGTAAAACATTTATCGGTCTGTCTGTTTATCCATCCCTCTGTCTATATGCATATCTGTTAATCTACTTATCTACCGTTTATCCATCCATCCATCCATCCATTCATCCATCCATCATCTATCTATCTATCTATCTATCTATCTACCTATCTATCTATCTATCTATCTATCTATCTATCTATCTATCTATCTATCTATCTACCTATCTACCTATCTATCTACCTATCTATCTATCTAGGTCTGTCTGTTTATCCGTATGTCTCCATCTGTATATACGTCTGTCTGTATATCTATCTGTCTCTATTTCGATCCTACTGCATATCGATCTGTCTGTATATCTATGTCTATCTGTCCGTCCGTCCGTCCGTCCGTCTGTCGATCCATCGGTTCTTCCGGCAGTAGGTGGACAACACTAGCGCCTACACTGTTTAGACAATTACTTCCAAAATTGATATTATCCGATCTATCAGGACGAACTCAAGGCCTTGCGAGTTTGAAACAGATATTTGGTTTTGGGGGCAATCTTGAATGCAGCGTCTACAAGTTTCTCAAAAATGGTCCCAAATTCTTTTTATTACACTTTTCCTCTGATACCGTAAAGAACGCTTAAAAATTACACAGGTCATTTTCCTTAAAATCACTTAATTTTCGTAAATTCCAAAACCTCAAAAAATGTTGGCTCCTTCCTAGTACTACAATACTGACAATATAAATTTTTCCTCATGAAATATGTTCTTCAATACCAGATCTTGAAATAAGATCGTGTGCGCTTTTCGAAAATATTAGTAGCTTTTCGAGAAATATAGTCAATTTTTAAACAATTATTTTCGCAAAAACCGTCCCAATATTTCCTTTAATTTTCTCCCCTCATATAGAGTGAAGAGTAGTTAAAAAATGAGCAGGTCTCTCTTTCGTTGAACTATCTGAAATTGAAATAAAATTTGCAAAAGTTAATAATGATGCGAGACAGAATGTGCTTATGTAGCACAATTAGTTTTAGTTTGTAAATAAACATAGTAACGACGTCAATCGTGATAAGGTGAGAGGAAAACAATCACTAATTAAAACCACACAAAACACACACACACCAAACAAAAATTAAAAGAAATATTACTTTCACGATAAAAAACGAAAACGGTGCTGAAAATGGGTCGACTAATTTTGAAAATAAAAAACTGTAATCAGAAATGCATTCATTCGTGATATTTACAGTATTTTCAATGCAATAACCATGAATAAAATAGGTAAATAACAATGCTATTACGTCAAGGAAGAATTATCTCAGCAATCCCGGTATATATAATTCCGGTAAAGGATTAACATTTCGAGTGAATCGTAGCATTTAAAAAGTTTCAAAGTGTGTCATTCCATTCGTTATCTATTCAAAATGACGAAAAAAATGAGAAATTCTATGAAAAGTTTCTTTTTATAGCTGAAAAATCTAATAACAGGTCCAGCCGGTTCAGCCTGTGGATAGTTTCACTGCCGCTAGACAATTCAATTTATATTTTTTTAAATTATTCAACGCATATAAACTCGGTGAACCAGTGAAGTATACTTTAAATGTTAAGTCAGTCTTATCTGATATTAAGTGAAATATTTTACGTGAGGGATTTACTCGTACATGAAAATACAAGAACTTAAATCTAGAAGTTTATTCATAGCTTATACAAAAGCGATAAACTACAACACTTTCGGGTGGCGGATCGGTGGCCAAGGCTCGACCTTCGCTGGAGCATCATGGGACAAAACATAAATAATTATTTTTTAGTATTTGTACTGTGACACTGAGAAGAAAAGCAGGTTTTGCTGCTCCGGGTCACTAGCTAAATATACACTGTTTATGACACTTTCTCAAGCTTGCAAAAAACATACAAAAACAATAACGAATGAGTACTGTCAGAGATTGCCTGACTATTTAGCTACTGAATGTCGTGCACATTGGTGACTGTTCCATTGTATCAATAATGCCACAAATTAGATCATCGTAAATTATTAACACGAATAAGAGGGAAAAGGTACTGACCGAAAAAAATAAGGTAAATATTTTATTCTTATCAGCACATAATTATTATATGAATAGACATTGATGATTATTTAGCATTAATATTTAGACTGGGATATTATGAAATGATACAACAAGAAAAATAATTAAGGAAATCATGCTTTTTAACGAAACAGTCCGTTTTAATTTCATTCTATTACGTAGTCAATCGCTCTATTATCTATAAATTAATTCTTCACGTCGCCAATGGCCCGAAACGTTGCATATATAATAACACAAGGCCTTGCGGGGATGGTCAGGGGAAGTAGAGGAGGAGGGCTGGAAGGGGCGTTTCCAGGATCGATTGAAGTATTCCATTAGTTCTCGCGGTTCACGAAAACCACAGCAAACTTGCTGAAATCGAATTACGAAACAACTCCCGGGCAAGGCTGGGCTGAGACAGGAACCACAGGAATACAGACTCCGGTCAACACCAATTTGGGCCCAACAAGCGCTCCACTTCACGGCCATTATGGACCGTTACGCGTCGCTGCTCACGGCAATCAAGACTCCATCTCGTGTAAACACCAGCCGCAGCGAATGGAGAGAATGCACGTCATTGTGAATGTGCAATGAAAATTCATTGTATCAAAGAACGAAAAGGGTAGCTCTGAAAATGGAAAAGAAGTTCACATTATGACAATTTAATTTTTCGGCAAAACATACTAAAGCATTAATCTACTCTTTAAAAAACTAATTCATACAATTTTGTTGGTTGAGACGTACTACATCATACTGCGCAGAGAGAAATGATACGTACACCATTTGGAAGGCAGCAGAGTCATTACGCCAAATCACTTCAGGCTTGCAAACAGGAATCCAAATACACAGTATGCGATTGAGGATCACTGAGAAGGAGCTCGGAGGCTAGGAGTCAAATGCTAAAACCAAATTAGCTCCTAGTACAGCAATCAACAAGTAGCGGTTATTGAAAGATGTGTAAATAAAAATAATTGTTTCATTTCTCACGAAAGGAAACAACGTACAACAACACAGCTATTACTCTTCTAAAGAACTCTCCACGGCCTCCACACATCTCTGCCAACGACGAGAAATTGAATACCATCGGTTGTCTGCGATTCCTGTATGTCCACCACATCTAATCCACTGAGCGGTTTGCCAGCAGTTGTGGCACAAAGGTCTCCACCCCGCGAGAAACCTTGTGATAAGGCAGGGCACTTTCACTAAATGTTTCTTCTAGTTCCGTTTGTCAAGCATTTCCAATATGCAATTTCCTTATATGGTCGCTGTTACACTTTACTTATAGAGTATTAGAATTTATCTGATATACAAACTACTACGTGTGCTGTCCACAAGCCCCCAATGCACACACACACACACACGATTCGACAGCTTCTTATAAGTTTGAGTGTTTGCTTTGCCACTTATGTTAATCACATTTCTGTTGATTTGGAATATATAATATAGTTAATTCGTAAGCATATTCTGACCTTTTTAAAAACAGACACTTTAATATTATTTTTTCAAATAATTTATTGACGTTGACCAGGTGATTTTAACCAGACGCATCTATATAACCATGGTTTCTATAATACCCACAAATTTGTATGGAAAATGCTACCTGATTGAAATTTTTTACTAACTCTCCCACAAACCTGGAGCTGAGATTTTTTTGAAAACGATCCAAATTAGGGTCGAAATATTAACCAGCAATAAATTATTTGAAAATATAATATTGTTATGTCTGTTTTCAAAACGGTCAGACTACTTTTACAAGTTAACGAGCTAACAGATGCAAAATCGTTCTTTAAAATATAACATTAATGCCATGACTTTTGGAATGAATATACACAGAAGAGTGATGTAACGGATTGTGTCATAGAAACAAGTTTTAATGATATAAAATACCTACACCCAAATAAGTAAATCATCAGGAAGCACATAATGGATGTCTACATTGGTCACTGAAAGCAGTAACGAACACTCATATCGCAACCACTCTTGCTTACGAAGACCGAGAACACACAGCATCAAACAAGTGAAACAGGGAAAATGAGTTACCATTTTCTAAACAATTAGCTTTCAGTCGAAAGCCTCTGCTCGCGTCACGTAATGGAGATGAAAGCTTTAAATGTTTTACGAGGTTCCGGCCAGCGCTTAGGATTGAAACTGGGAGTGCGTGCAGGCGGGTTGATTGGCTTTTCGGCTCAGAAGAAGAACGTAAACTCTCGGAAGTACGGCGCTCTTTTTTTTTTATTTTTGCACCTGGCAAGATTACGATCTCTTAAGCCCCCGCATTCATCCCACGAGGGAGAACTTTTAAATAACTTTCCACTCTCACTTTATTTTCATTAATACAATAGCGCACGCTTCATCTAGATTAGGCATCTCCGGGGAAAAAGGGGTGCAAATTGAGTTCAACTTCAACATGCCCGAGACACACGTACTCGTTTAAGCTAGTCGTGTGTGCAAAAACCACGCAATTGAAGGGTAGTAAAAGAAGAACACCGGATCCTTGAAATGCGATGTGGCCAGCTAACAGAAAAGAAAGAAGAGCCCGGTACGAAAGAGAGACTTAGAATACCGCATCCCCAAAACGGTAGGACTGATGACACAAAGGGCGCAGACGATTTAGGTAGTTAGAAACAAGAAATAATTTAAATAAGAAACAAGTGTATAGGTTCAGAATAAGAGGGAATACAAGAGTGCATAAATTAGAACAAATAAGAAAGTAGAGAGGAAAGATA